CGTCACCACTGCCAGTTGTGACCCTAGCCCGTGGTCGGCAAACCAGGGCTCGAGAGCCACATGCAGCTCTTTGGCCTCTTCAGTGTGGCTGTTCCACAAAATACCACGTGGGGCGCGCACGTACAGTGCGATTGAAACTTCGTGGCCCATGCGCAGAAGTCGGTATTTTGTGGAAGAGCCAGTATTTTGTGGAAGAGCCACACTCAAGGGGCCAAAGAGCCACGGTTTGACGAGCCGCAGTTTGCCGACCACTGCCCTAGCCCCTCACAGCCTCAGTCACCTCCTCTTTCAATGGGATAATAACAGTCCATTTCTGGAAAGATAGTGGGGAGAGTTGAGTAAGACAAACTGAGAAACATTTAAACCGTTGCTTGAAACGTGAATGGAGCAGCTATTTCTCATAACACTCCCATCGTTGCTTTTATTATCATTGTTATGATGTGGAGGGTCGGATGAAGTCCAGATATAAACCTGGCTTTCCCTGGCAGAGGGTGAGTTTCAGGAGGGTGGGTATGAAAAGTCTGGAAGACCTCCCAAGCGAGAATGGGCGAGGAGGCCAGAAGGCACGTAATAGCCCAGTGGTTCTCAACCTTCCTAATGCCGCGACCCTTTAATACAGTTCCTCATGTTCCTCATGTTGTGGTGACCCCCAATTTCATTGGTACAAATTGAACATAATTAAAGCATAGTGATTAATCACAAAAACAATACGTATTGTCCAATGGTCTTAGGCGACCCTTGTGAAAGGGTCATTGAACCCCCAAAGGGGTCGCACCCACAGGTTGAGAACCGTTGGCTTAGACTCTTAAAATTAATCCAGTTTCTCTCTTGTCCACACCCCACCCTCTCCCGATTTTTCTCCCTGGGAATGCAGGCACCCAAGTGGATGAAGGAGTCCGCTCAGCCAGCAAGCGCATCGTGGCGCCCCCTGGAGGCCGTTCTAACATCACATCCCTGAGTTAAGCCACCCCTCCCCAGAGAGAGGGGCAGAAGCAAGAAGAGATTGATTTGAAGCCAACATGGTACACCGATATTTAAGGAGGAGAGCGAATCCAAACAGTTACGACCTAAAGAATCAATAAGCCTCAAGCCTTATGTTTCTCCAATGTTACGCTCGCTTGCCTAGCTTTACGAATATTGCTTTGTTTATGCCTAGCCTTGATTTGGTTGACCCCCCTCCCCCATTTACATGCATGCAATCAGACAGGCCACTAAGGTAAGGAGTCTGCTATCTAGTGTTGAGAGCGTGTGTAGTGCTGCATCTTAAGACAAGGGGACAGACAAAGCTGGATGTCAGGAGACTGAACAGAAGGGACACAGTTATTTGGGGTGAGTGGGTGGTGGGAGCCTGAGCAAGGCTGGGAGCTCAGAGGGCTGGGGTGGGGTGAGCACGGGGAGGGGGGTGGGTGGGTGAATATAAGGGGTCTTGTGTATTGTGTTAATGAAGTACATTTATTTCCTTGGAAGATGGCCCCTGGGGGTCCGGAGGCAGCAGAGAAGGCAGGCGGGGTCTTCAGGTTCCGGACTTTGTCACGTCCTCTCTTAGTAGATTTCATATCTTTGAGCATTTTATTAAAACACCAAAACCCAGCCATGGCTTCCTCTTGGTCGTGCCAGTGCTTGGCCGGGCCTCTTTCTCAGAGCTGCTTTCAAATGCTTCTCTTTTCCTGGCTGGGAAGGAGGAGAGGAGGGAGGAGGGTCACTTCTCTGGTCTTGGTGCTATTAAGAGGCAACACCTGGGAGCGCGCACAGGCCCTCGGGGTGGGGCGGCCTCGCTTACATTGCACCTCCCTGCAAACAGGAGGTGGAGGTCACCTTCTCCTGGTCTTTTCAAACTGAGGAGGGCAGCCTGCCCCTGGCATCTTGTGTGAAGGGCTGCTCCTGCCAGTGGTGAGTGTTTGATTGTCTTGGTCTCCCGAGATCCCCGCACAGCCATGAGCGAATCAGATTTGTGCTGTTGCTGAAAGCTGATTTTCTTAGCGGTTCCTTAGCTTCCATCTGAGCTTGTGTGGGAGTCAGGCAGGGCTTTGGGAAAGCCAGCCTGGAGCAGCAAGAGCATGTCCTGTGACCGTGGTTCTGGTGCTCAGTCCTAGGCCATCTGTCTCCCCGGCCATCAGCACAGCCTTGGGGGGAGCTTTTGTTTGGTACCACGTCTCCCCAGGTGGGTGGCGGTGACAAGTGGCCCACAAGTACAGGAAGTGCTGGCACCTTCCTTGTCTGCCGGAGCTGAACGTGCTTCCCCATCCAAACTCAACTTCAGAACAAGTTCTCTGAACTGGACGAGATTGTAGAACTAAGGGGCCCCTGTGCAGGAACAAATGTATTTCACCTGCGATCTGACTTCTGTGCTGGGATCCAGCTGGTAGAACTCGTAACCCTGTGTACTAGGTACTCTGAAGAGAGGCCGCAAACACCTCCCAGGTGTTTGGGAGAAACCTAACTGCAGGTTTTAACACATTGTATGCGGGTAGTAACAGGTGGCTCTACTACTTACAGTCAACCGCATACAATGTGTTTTAAGGGGAAGGCCAGAGGGAGAGCATACGTGTCTGGGGAGGCATGTGGAAATAGCCATGTGGAAATAGCCAAGGAAGAGGATTCCCCCTAACTAAGCTAATTTCTCGTCCAATTATGAAAAAGAGGATTTCCTCTTAAAAACCTTGCTACCTTTAAGGCTTTTTCATGGTGCCTTTTTTTAAAGGAAACATAAGTGAAGGGGAGGGTGCAGCTCGTGGTTTATAACTCAAAGATGTGGGAGCCTGTTTCAAACTGGGAGCGGTAGTTTTGCAGACCGGCAGCCCTCTTGTTATATCAGAAGCGTATGCTATATACCTCATTGGCTGGGCTGGGATTTAGGATATGTTGCAGTACCAGCCACAACCACCAGATGGAGGAAAAGACACGTTAATAACTAGTGGGAACATCCACTTCAGTACCATCTGCTGCTGTTACCAGCCCCCGAGTCCAGCTCATCTTTGCTGACCTCTCTATGCCATGAAAACCAATATTTCATGGCCCAGTTGGCTGCACTTGGGACTTCTGAATGAAACATTCAACCAGGACTTACATTCTCCACGAGCTTCCCCTGCTGGGGGAGCAGCCCCTTCATGCCTCGATGCTGGGCAACACAATCTGAGAAAAGCCCCCCTTTCTTCATGCCTGTTAGTAACTTCCCAAGCACAGAAATTCCTGGGAATTCCAAGAACACTCCCACTGTCGACTTTGATTTCTGGTTCCTTGTTACTTAAGTTAAATTCTATATTCCAATCTGTCCTGTTCCTTAAGACACATCAAAGAGCCCCATACACACGGGTTTAGGAAGAGATCACCACAGTGAGTCAGGCCCTCTCAGAATTCACTGGCACATCCTCCAACTGTGGGAGGGCTTGCTGGGTCTTCTGTCTTCCTCCCAGGCTTTCTTTCGCTGTCTCCTGTGTTGGCCTGGGCCCTCTCTAAGGATACCCCACCTGCTCCCCTCCCCCCAACCTCCCCACGTTGTCCCTAAACCCAGATGGCAATCAGCTAGGGTTCTGTGTGGGAGAGCCACGATCTTGGGTGCTTGAAAGGTATTTGAGGAACTGTTAATTCCGTCGCCCCAGCAGAGATACTTCTAAGTTTTCTGAATTTGGCAGGGCTGTAGCCATCTCGAAAATGGGTTTTCTTCCAAGTCCCCTCATCCTTTGGCCTTTGTCTTTGTACCGACACCCAGAGAGTCACCGTCTGCTCTGAAGGCCTCCATCCTAAGCCTGGACTTTCACTCACCCTGAGTAGCCCTTCCCAACAGGGTGACGCGTTACACAAGCACCCCAGGCCTTCTCTCCCGGAAAAGTCCAGCTGGAGCCCCAGACATACACCGGCTGTCCCGGCAGCCAGCATCCGTGGTCGGTCCCCTCTTTGGAAAGTCGTGTGCGGGTGTTCAGTTCTGTGTCTGGTGACCGTGGACGGACAGTGACCTCCCTGTGACCTGTGGTAGCTGTGAAGCGGCTCTGGAATGTGAAGAGCTGTTTGGTTTGAACCGTGAAGAAAACTGTGTTTTGAGTTTAGCTGAGATTAAGAAGAAAAAAAAAAGTTCATCAAGTGACTGTTCATGTAAACCTGGTTATTAAAATAACTATAAAATCACAGATGTCGTTCTGTCTTTTCTGTGTGTGACATGACATTGACCCAAATTGTTAAAATCAGTAAAACTGAAATGGTTGGTAAGGGGGCAGATCTGATGAAAACAGAGTTGCCCAGAGAAAATGTGGGGAATTCCTATCTTTTCAGTTGAGGTTGAGCTTTTATATGGCTAAAGAGTTTGATGACTATTGTTAAAACTTGGGGGAATTACTAAGTTTAT